GCGAAGGTCGTTTCACCACCATGTTGGGTTCAATGTCTCAATCTCTCTAAGTAGACCTTCCAGGTGGTTAGGAAAGCGATAGTTGGCAAGCAATAGGTCTAGTGTATAAAATATTTGCAGCACAATTTTGTAGCTCAGCTAGTTCAACTTGTGCAGTGCTGGAAGTGCGAGATGGGGCTGCGCAACAGTGGGAAGAATGGTCGGCGGCACCCAATTTTCGACTTCTTTGGGCTTTTACCCTCACCGCTATGTTTGAAAATCTTGTGTCGGTTACGCCCAATTCAGAAGCAGCTTGTTCAACAGTTTCATGCAGATTTGATTTGGCCAAAACCCTCAGCTGATCTTTATCAGTCTCCGATATCACTAATCTCCTTCAAAGCTTTCAACATCGCGAGAAAGACTTTTTGAATTACGACTCCACAGCGTATTTTTTGTGGACTCAGAACCAAATGCTTAGTTGATATCGCAACTTGCTTCCGCACATTTCCGAGCAAGTTTGAGGGGAAACAAGAAACCAGTGCAAAGCAGGCTGTTGAGTATGTTGTCTTCAAGACTCCAAAGAAAAATTGGAAAAGTGGTTCAGGGTTAGAAAACAGTAGGAGCAGTTGTTCACGGTTACACACAGTATGTATAATAGAGCGACAAACCGCTTTCTGAATTCTAAAGTACCCTAAAATCCCATAGATAAGAGCGGTTTAATTTACCGGTGAAAAATGAATTGGAATGAAATTGAAATTGAATGCAGTCACCCCTCTAACTTGATGGATGGATAAATAAAAATCGGAGAAGAAGTTTAGAAGAAGCTCCGCCCCTCAACTCTAAACCCCGCCCACTTAATAAACAATTCATATAGAAAAATAGCGATTTTAACGGAATTTCTGCCGGAATCTCTCTAGAAATGCCGGAATTTGATCTCTGGATAGAACTTGAAGAGCCCATTCGATCAGTAAAATTCCATAGATAAGAGCGGTTTAATTTACCGGTAAAAAATGATTTTGAAAAAATTTTTATTTTTATTTTATTTTTGAAAAAATATCTATGGACCGCTCTTATCTATGATTTTAGGGATCGAATGGGCTCTTCAAGTTCTATCCAGAGATCAAATTCCGGCATTTCTAGAGAGATTCCGGCAGAAATTCGTTAAAATCGCTATTTTTCTATATGAATTGTTTATTAAGTGGGCGGGGTTTAGAGTTGAGGGGC